TCCTGCTGACAGCCCTCCAAGAAGGGACAGTTTTGTCTCCTGAGCTGTAACTGTATCCATTGTGGAGTCCTGTGTCCAAGGCTGAGTGGAAAATTGCCAAGATCTTAGAAACCATCTTCTGCCTCTGGTATCGTGCTGAGGAGCCAGGGGAGCCCAGGCTGTGTCCATGCTGAGTCTCCAGGTGTGGCCATTCAGATGGGCTGGTCCAAGGCAGGTCCAAGGCAGCCCACGAGAGTGCACTGGGGTGAGGGGAGTAGCCCTTCTTCACACATGTGGCTGTTTGTATATGGTAAGGTATCCCAGCTGTCTTCTGCTGGAACTCTTCAGCTTCTGGAATGCTGATGGCTGGGGAGGCTGCTCTGGTCTCAGCTGCTGCTGGATGCAGAACACGAGGGCTGGGCTGTCGGTGGTGCCATTTGAGAGGGAGCTGCTGTTCTGCCTCAGTCCAGAGGGTGAGGTTTAACATGCTGCCTGTACATTGCAGACACAGCAGAAGGAGACACTCCAGAAGCCCACAAAGGACCAGCAGTTTACAGTCCTTCTCGGTACAGCTACCAGGTAAATGCTTTCATGTATTATCTGCACATTCTGAAATAAAACCTTTAAAGAGATAAGGGAGAAACTGCCCTTGGCTGCCAATTGTTCCCAGTCCTGCTGCACTAAGTACCTTCATCATGAGAAAGAAGCAGGAAACGTGAAAGTCAATCTGACATGCCTTTTCTTTTTTTTCCCCTATGTCTTGTTCAGCTGCTGCAGTCTGACAGTCCCCAGGCAGAATCACAGACCCTGCTCCAGCAGAGCTCCTCCCCGTACAGAGGGCACCTCGCGCCGTCTCCTGGATACAGCTACCGAGCAGCAGCACAGAGGACAGGACACGGCCTCTCCCATGGTTCCTCAGAAACATCCCTCTCCTCCACCTCGTACTCCAGCCCTGCCCACTCGGTCTCCACAGACTGCTCTGCCCTGTTTGCAGGGACCTCGGGGTATTTCAGCAGCCAGCAGCACTCTGGCAGCGTCAGCAGCAGCCTCCTGAGGAAGAGCTGCCCCGCGGCTGCCAGCCCGGCACAGCAGACGGCTGTGGACTCTCTCTCCTCCGAGTCGGGCTCCCAGCCCTGCACGGGTGTGTCGGGCTCCTCCTCCGCTCCCCAAAGTGCTCGCTCACTACAGTCAGACTTGCGGACTATCAGTCTGCCCAACTCCGGGCAGTCTGTGCTCTACCAGGGCTCCCGGGGCGCAGTGATTTCCAGTGCACAACACTATCCACACCGCGGGGGAGGCAGTGTCCACCAGTACAGACTGCAGCAGCTTCAAGGTTCTGGAGTAAAGACTCAAACAGGACTTTCCTAGGGCTGCCTGGACTCCAGGAGGACAAAACTGCCCATAGCTCCTTCCAGTCACCTCTGGAAGTGGCTCCTGGGCCGGTGTTGGGAGCTTGCACCTGATGCTGGGGTGCCAGGGGTCAGAGGCTGAGGTCTGAAATGCACGGGTGAGATTTGTGAGCAGTATTGGCCTCTGGCCTGGTAGGAGAACGCAGATTTCTCTGAGGCAGAGACTGTAGCAAAGCAGTTCCCTGATACGTGGGTACATTGCAAAAACAAAAACAAAAAAAGGAAAAAAAAAAAAGCAAATGGTTCAAGTGCAATGACTGTGGCACAGCCTCTGTCTCTGGTCCGTGCCCATGGCCATAGTCACTCATGCAGCACGGACACCGTTCTGAATTTGAAAGCAGTTTAAAGGAAACGTTGGGGGAAGTTAACTCCAATCTCTTTATAGGTCAGGTTCTCAGTGCGTTCTGGGGAGGGCTTTAATCCGTTACGATCATTCCAGTCACAAGCAGACGAGCGCACACGGCTGCCTTTGGGCCTGGGTCACCACTGCCACTGTCAGAGCTTTTTCCAGGACAACAGAGTCTCCGCAAATGTGAACTAGCACGGGAGGGGGTTGGAGCGTGTGCCTGTCGCTGCAGAGGGTCTGGGGTGCACTGTCACGTGCTGCTTCCTTGCAGGGCTGTCGTGAACGAGTGTTCTAAGGTCGCTTAAGGAGTCTGTGAACAGGAGCATGGCCGAGGCTGTGCTGTCACATGCTGCCGTGCCAGGGGTCTCTGGCTGCTGGTGTGGAGACGCGGGGGGTGACCGGGGGCCTGATCAGGCAAGTGATGCTGCAGTGCACGGGGGGCTGCGGGCAGAGGAGCGGGGGCTGCCGAGGGGCAGTGCTGGGGTGTTGGGTGCAGACCCCGGTCTGTGCCGAGCCAGAGGCTCTTGGGGCAGTGCTGTGTGGGGTCCTTCCCAGCCGCCGTCACCCACCAAGCGTGGCAGGAGAGCCAGCCCAGACACAGTGCGCTGTCTGTTCAATTCCATACGATTGCCAGCTTCTTTCTCACTTGTTTACTGTAATATCGGGCGTGTTTTTATTTATCTAATTTTATATTCAGTTATAACCATAGTAGGTTAGCTAATATATGACAGGTGTCATCCCTGGTGCTGCAGTGGAACTTCTCCTTTCTCTTGGATAACATAATGCTGTGAGTCTGTCTCCCCTGTCCTTTCAGATGCACAGTCTTCTTCCTCTTTTTTTAGGACTGTTACAGGTTTCTCTAATTCACAATTGAAATCAGGTGTTTGTTCAGCCTAGGGGAGACTTTTAAAATATTGAAACAAAGAGTAACTTTCTCACACTGTCTGGCTGTGAGCGTGTTGGGATGGAACTTGTCACCCCGCAGTTGGGTGTCTGTATACTGTATAAAATAGGTGTAAACTTCACTTGGCTTAGCCCTGGGGGTGCAGCCTCCCCTTTCGTGCTCTGAGCAGCACGGGGCAGGCAGGCTCTGCCCTGCCAGGCAGCGAGAGGGGGCCGGGGGGCCCTGCCCAGAGGCTCCAGCACCTTTGGGCGCAGCAGGGGGGCAGGAGGGAGGGACCCTGGAAAGCTCTAGGAAAGGTGGGGGCTGTAGCTTCTTACTCTAGTGGAGTTTTTACACCATGCTGTAACATTTGAACTTTCACAAGAGATGTAATAATTTTGATAATAAAAATACTTAACTTGAAAACTGGTATTTTTGCATTTCTTTCTGTTTCCTTACCACCTTACATCCTGGTGCCCAGGATGTGGGGTGAGGGAGTAGGGTCATGTTGGTCTCCCTTTCCTATCCCTGCAGGGTAAGCAGATCTTCACAGGAGCAGCCCTGCAGACCTCCCTTCTGCCAGCATTTTGGGTGAAGCCAGAGGCTGCTTCAGGAGCTACTGTTCCTGAGGAAATTCCCTGAGCTTCTGCCTGGGGTTGTGAGATTGTGGCTGTGCTGCTGTTCTTGCTCATCTTGGGAGGAGATGGTGTGGAGGATGTCCCCTGCACCACTGCACCTGCTTCAAGACCTGGTTTCTGGTGTGCTGGTAGCCAGGGTTTTCATGTTGCTTGCCTTTTCCTAAGGAAGTCTGAGATGGGCTGAGCCTGGAGGGGGGCCCACCACTTGTTGCCTGCAAGCGCTGGTCTGAGATGCCCATGGCTGGTGTTTGACTGCCCTCACAATGAGAACGTTCCCCCTGACACCTTGTGGGACAGTGTCTGTTGTGGCTCATCCTGTCCCTGTGCATCCCTCAGAAGAGTCTGACTCCATCTCCTGTACTGCCTCCCCAAAAGCAACTGTGGGCAGCACCAACCCCCCCACTTCTCTCCCAGCAGCTGACCCAGCCCGCCCCTCAGCCTCTCCTGCCATCTGCCAGTGCAGGGCTCACCCGGGCTCCGAGCACGTCCTGTACCAGCGAGACCAGAGCTGGCCAAAGCTCTCCAGATGTCCAAGAGTTCCCCATGCTGCCCTCACACAGCCTGGAATACATCCCTGCTCATCTACCAGAGCACGCCGCCGGAACGACCAGCCACGTAAGTTGGTTTTTTCCATCAAGACACTGGAATTTGATGAATTTCAGGAGGCTGCTATCAGCCTGTGTCTGCCTATGAGCTGACAGACCACTGGTGGCAGAAGGGACGGGCTCAAAAGCTCCTAAGAATGGATGGGATCCTTGCCCCACCTCCTGCCTTGCCACAGAGTGGGACCCTTTCCCTGGGGACTTGCTTTTGGCCATGCGGGTGGAGGCTCAACCCCACAGGGCACAGGGAGGGCTCTCCACCCTCCCTTCCCCACCACAGCTTGGACACCCATGTGGGGTCCTTTGACCTCTTTGCAGACCACCTCCTCTGTGTTGGCAGTGCCAGGAGGAGCCCATCCCAACCCTCCCCACACCACAGGGCTCCGAGCTTGTCTGGTTTGAATTATATTTTTCAATAAGGTTTTGTGAAACACTGTATCAAACTTTGTACTAAAATACAGATATATTACAGCTACTGTATTCCTTTCTCCACTGATTTTTCTTGGTTTGTTTTTCCAATTCAGCTGGCAACAGCACTCACAAGCTGGCAAGGCCCAGGTGCTGCCAGGCGCAGGGGGTTCCTGCTGACCTCGTTCCAGGGGGGCAGCTGCCGGAGGGATGTAGGCACCGCCAGGCTCATGGCACCCATGCCGTCCCGGGTGACTTTGGCTCCCAGATCCAGATGGTGTTTCGGCACAGCTCCATCCCTCACCGCCACCCTGCAGGGCCTCAGGGCACCACTTACCTGCTCCCACCAGCCCCTGGTGCCCGCTGAGGCGATGGTTCCTGCAGAGCACTTGATGCCGTCCCTCAGCAGCCTGCATGCTCTGTGGCCCCATCCCGAGACCCGCTCTGCTCCCTGCTCCCCGGCCTTGCCCAGTGCCTGGGTCCAGCCCTGCCAGGGCCCCCTGGGGGCCCTCCCCTTCCCGGGGCCCTGCGAGGAGCCCCGGCTGCTCGCACTGAGACGCGGCCAGTGCTGAGGACTTTATTGCATTGCGAGGGCTGCGGTGACCCAAGCCCCCATGGCCAGGGGAAGCCCACACACACCGGTCTGGCCAGCAGAGCCACAACCGGGCTGCGGCCGCCCGCGCCGGGGTGTCGGTGCCGGCTCCAGGGTGCTGTGTGGGGGCCATCGGAGCCGGGCAGCTGGTGCAGCCAGGAGGCCGGGTGGGCACAGGAGGGCTCAGGTACCCCCGGCCACGCCGTCACCAGTGGAGATAAAGCACCGTATGGGGAGGGAAGGCGTTTGGCAACAGCCCGCGGCCGGCTCGGGGAGGGGTCTGGCGGGAGGCGGGGGGTCCTCCTGCGCCCGCCCAGGGGGTTTTGCATGTTCAGCTGCTCCCACTTACCAGGGCTTACATTCAGCGGCGGAGCGTGTCGGGTGTCCCACGGCCGGCAGGCAGCGAGGACCCGGCGGCCCCGGCCACACGCCAGGAAGCACCGCGTCCTGGGGCCGGGCTCCCGGGGCGGGGGGCGAGGGGGCTCGAGTCACTTTACCCTGTTTAGAGAATATGAATTTACATGTAAAAGTAGGGGTTGGGCCCTATCCCGGCCACCGGGTCCCCTGGCCGTGGAGACAGGATCACGGAGCTGTACAAAATGGGAGTGGGGAGGGGTCCGGGACCCGGAGCAGCCGGCACGGGGCGTCACTGGGTGCGCGTTCGGGTGGGAGGCAGCAGGTCAGGAGTCCTGGGGATGTAGAAATCTGTTAAAAACTCCGAGACTGTTTTTTCCTTGAAACAAAACCGCAGTTGGATGCTGTTCTTGAACGAAGCGCGTTTCAGGCATCCTTCCCCGGCGGCGGCCCGCGGGCAGCGCGGGGTGCGGAGCTGGCGGGGTGCGTGGGATGGCGGTGCCGGCGTGGACATGGAGGTGGCCGTGGATGCGGCGGGCGGGCGGCGCATCCCTGGCGCGGGCGGCGGGGCCCGGGGGGCGGCGCGGGACGCTGTGTGGCCGCTGGCAGCAGACGAAGGGCAAGAGAGGGAGGGAGCGCCCAGGCTGCCGGCCGTGGGAAGAGGGTCCTGCTGCGGACGGTCGGCCTTATATCCTCTGTGGGGAGAGCACAGCGGGTCGAGGACGGTGTTGGGCAGGTCTTACTGCACCATCGTGCCATCAGCACGTGCCTGTCCCCATCCCTGTTGCACCCTACCCCATCCCTGCTGACTCCCTTCCCCATTGCCCCCAGCTTTGCTGCCCGCATCCCAAGCCACACAGCACACCCAGACACACACCACACAGTCAGGGCCAGAGGACAGGACAGTGACACTCAAGACTTACCGCAGTGCCAACAAAATCTGTGGAAACAGAAGAGACGGGTGTCAGGCAGGACAGAGGCTCGGCAGCCCGCTCCGCTCCCACCCTGCCCAGCCTGCTCCGCTTTGTAGGTAGTAGTTAAGCCCATGGGACCCTTTCCAGGATGCTGGAGGGGCCAAGCCCTCCAGGCTGTTCCCACCCAGGATCCCCCCAGGGCCCCGGGACCCTCGGCAGCGTGGCTCTCACCTTTGCTCTCTGTCTTGAGCTCCTCGTGCAGCAGGTCGTTCTGCCGGTTGCCGAGGACAAAGGCCAGGAAGGAAAGGATGAGAGCGTTGAGGATGCCGATGATGGCCAGGATGTAAGCCCAGCGCACGGAGCAGTCGCCCAGGGAGTATTTCCCTGTCTTCTCCCCACACATGTCCCGTATGGTCTCTGCATCCCAGCCATCAGGAAAGATCATACAGCCCAGCACCAGGCAGAGCGCTGCAAGGGGGAGAGGAGGGGAGGCATCAGAGGGGACATGGGGTGGCAGTGCCAGGCACTGAGCCCCCCAGTCAGTGCATGAGTGCAGCCCACGCCTGGCAGGGAGCCCACCTTGGCCCCATGACAGCCAGGTGACATGGCAGGAGACAGCCACCGCTGCCCTGGCAGCCCCAGGGACTGGGTTTGCACGTGGCTGCCCCAAATCTTGCCCATGCACAAATGGGAACTTCAAGGTCTTGGTTTCTTCCAGCATCAGTCACAGGATCAGTGGTTCCCCATGGGCTTTCCTCATCACTGCAGACTCCCTGCATGTGGGCAGGAGCTACCAGGCAGGAGCTGCGGGCAGGGATGCTGCGTGCTGAGAGGATCGTCATCCCCAGGAGCCCCTGCACCCAACCACCACACATCCCCCCAGAGGGGTCACCTTCCCAGCGTGCCTCCATCCTGCACGCTCCATGCTGAGCAAGGAGACATCAGAGAACACAGGGAGGGAAATGCCAACACAAAGCCTGTGACTGTCAAGGTAAGAAGGTGACGTTTTTTCTAACTACAGCAAGTATAAAAGCTCCTTGCCTGTATCAGCTGGGAAGGCTAAAAATAGTAATGATGTTGGCTGGGGTGCCCTGCAGGTATTTTTGCCCTGAGTTAGGGAAGAACCAAGAAGCTTGTGCCAACACCAGTGAGGAATTATTTCCCCATCCCTTACTGCTGGAGGGACAGCAAACACCCTGCAGGCACGAGTGCTGTAGCAGTGGCCCCAGGGGAGGGCAGCTGGTGGTCTGGCACAAGCTCTCTAGGTGCTGGCATGTGCTTTGAACTGCTCTCAGGAGGGAAGGAAAATCCCAGGAGGGAGGGAAGCACATGTAGGGCATCACACTGGGAGCAGGTATTGCCCTCGCATCCTGATAAGCTGCACCCAGAAAAGAGCAGGGACACTGAGGCGAGTAGTCTGTGCTCTGGCACATAATGTCACGTGCCAGCTGCTGCCTGCTCTCTGCCTCCTCCGTCCACATCACAAACCTGCTCTGTAGAAGTGTCTTTGCAGGCAGTGGTGAGCCCTGCATGCTGATTTAGGGCCGTGCACAGCCCTGGTTCCACCCTGGCACTGCATGGCTGCACAGGAGCTGACAAGCTGGCACCTCCAGTACATCGTCACCAGGGACTCCCAGCCAAGCACAGCGTGTCTGGGGGAGCTCCCTGCCTGTTGGGACTGGGCCAGCCCAAAACCATCCCTCTGCAAGGAAGTACAATCAGCACCAACACCGTGCTCTGCGTGGTAAATGGTGAGGTGCAGCCTGGCCTGATGCTGACCTGGGCACATTGGGGCAGGATGGCATTAATTCAGCCAAGGGCCTGAAATAAAGGGGAGCAGGTGCAGCAAACCTGTGCCAGGGACTGTTCCTGTGAAAGCAAAAAGCTAAGAGGATTTTAGGATCTACTGAGCTCCCAGTGCAGTGCAGTATGAAACAAGCTAAGGTGCTCTGTGGCCATCCCTGGCAAGGGGGTGGGTTTGTCCCTGCAGCTCAGAGCAGCTCAGTGCTCTCTTCTTCCCATCTGTCCTACATGTTCCCAGCAGCAAGCCGAGTCCTCTGGTCTGTCACAAGCAATTCCCTTTTCTGCACATCCCCAGCCCGCCTGATGTCCTGGAAACACCTTCCCGTGCCTGCAGCAAGGAGTGACATTGAAGAGTGGAGCAAGAACAAGGAGGGGATCCCCACATGGTCCACAGGCCTCAGCACTGTCCTCTGCAACAGCTCTGAGGGGTGCAAGATCAGGGCTCTGCCTGCACCTGCCTCCCAATGCCCCAAGATCCCTTGCAGACCTGCAGGAAAACCTTGATTTTTGTTTAAAACAACCTATTTCTACACCTTGCAACCACATGAAAAACACCAAGTGATGACTCCTACCAGAGCCACTATTAAAGAGGAAAAAATAACCCAACTCTCATCCATTTTGCTTTTAATTCCTGTTCTTCTGAGGGTGTGGTGCCAGTCCTCACTGACAGTGGCACCAAGGATGGCTGGCTACTCTGTCACACCCCACAGCTGCCATCCTTCTCCCAGGCCCTGGGCTCCAACTCCCTCTTCTAGAGTTTTCCCAGTTGGAAAGGCATTTCAGTGATCGCTGGAGGAGGGTGTATGCGGAGGGAGGATGATCCTGCTGGGGCTGGTATTCTGACCCCGGGAAAACTAGCATTTCTTGGCTTGGTTTTACAGCTGGTTCATGGCTTCCCACTCCTCAGTGCTCCCTTGTCAAGGTCCTCTAGAAATGAAACGGGCATCTCAAGGGCTTTTGATATCCTTGCAAAAGAAATTAATCAAAGGGAATGTAACATTATGACTCAGGCTGCAACACAAGAGGAGGCTCCTCCCGGCAGCATAACATCTCCTGGTACAAGGTGCATTTAGCTAATTTGTCTGAGTAGCCTCGTGTTTGCTGAGTACCACAGCTATCCCAGTACTGCACCTGCCCCGAGCAGCTGTGCCTGCAGCATTAAAATCTGATTTTTTAATCACTTTTTCTGTCCAGTTTAGTCTGCAGGTGTGGGTGAAGACTGGCTTTTACTGCTTTTGCCTGCCATGGGTGGAAGAAGCTCAGGACATGCCCTGCAGCTGAGAGATGTGGCCTCCCCCTGAGCATGGGCACACAGAGCATCACACCGCCTCAGGACATGCAAACTGGAAAATGTGGGGTAACGGGGGAAACCAGCAACCACTGGGGCCCAAAGGGGCTTGTTAAACCTGGTGTGCGGACAGTGAGCCCCAAGCCTCTGGGGAACAGGGGCTGAGCTGTGAAATTGGGGTCTGGAGTTGCTGCTTCTCACTAGAAAACCTCCTGAGAGCTGATCACTGAAGGGAAAGGGGACAAACACAGCCACCCTTCCTTCCCATAAAAGCTGAAATCCCTCAAAAATGAATGAACACTAAGGGCAGCGTGCTCAGGACGAGCAGCACCGGCCATTTACACAGACACGAGCTCCCTTACGGCATTTTGCTCCACAGGCTGTTTCCGTGCCAAAAAATCAGCAGGATTCAGAATAGAGTTATGAGTTTGTATGAATCAGAACTGACAGTTACTTTATCTGGAACAACAGTTAAGGGATGTAAGCTCCAGGACACGAGTGGCTCCGAAACGCGCTGCTCAGCCCCTCCCTGCGAGTACACAGGCACATTAACAGCCGCTACGGGAGGGACGCGCTGCCGTGCAAACCCCGGGGCTGCTGCCGCGGAGCACACGGCGCCGGCTGGATACAAGGAATAGGCTGAATCCCTGCTCCTGTTCCCGCTGCAAGGCAGAAGTGGCAGTGGAAGGAGGGGGGAGTCTTCAGGAAAGCTTTTCTGGGGGCCAGAAGACGGTAATTGATCAAAGGCTAAGGCTTTTTGCGGTGATGTAATTTTTGCTGCAAGGTCAGCAGGTGGAAGTGGTTCACCTGAAAGATCATATTTTGGCAATATTTCTGCCTTGGACAGAGAAAGGGCTTGAGGATACAGGATAGAATCACAGAATCACGGGATAGGGCTGGAAGTGACCTGTGGAGATTATCCAGTCCAACCTCCCTGCCAAGGCAGGGTCACCTAGAGCAAGTTATATAGGAATGCATCCAGGTGGGTTTTGAATGTCTCCAGAGAGGGAGACTCCATGACCTCCCTGGGCAGTTTCATTCCCAGTAGCTGTACCAGTTATGCTGGTTTGGAGCAGTGGTATCTGCCTCAAATTTTTTCATTACGAAAATCAATTACTGACTTTTATATCCATGAAAACAATTGTTTTGAAACCTCAAACTCTGAGAGGAGTTGGCTCTCCAGCAAGTCCCAGTCAGGAAGATGACCCTGTCCTGATGTGGCTCAGCAGAGCCACCACATCGTTGCCAGCACCAGGGAGCGTTTCAGGGCTGTGGTGCTGGGGCCAGACCCTGCTCTCCCTTGGGGCTGAGGTGACATCCCCACACCACACAGCCCTGCCACGCACAGCCCAGCATCTGGCAATGGGCTTCCTCACCACTCCTCTTCCCGGACATGCCAGAGTGATGCCCTGCAAGGGGTCCCCACTCAGAAGGTGGCAAACACGGCTGAGATGCAGAAGATGAAGCCACTGCTCAGGGCTCTGCCTCTGCTCCCAGCCCTCGGAAGGGCCCGTCCAAGAGGTGAGTGTAGCTCTGAAGGGAGTCTCCCAAAGGAGAAAAGGGCTCAGATGGATGTGTATTGTCAGATTGTCCATCAGGTAAGGTGCCTGGACATGGCATAGTCAACTCCAAAGTGCTACGGATAAGGACAAACCCCAGCCCTACTGTCAAAGGCATGGCCCTGGATGTCATGCATCCCTAGGGGAGCTGGAAGGTCTCACCACGCTGACTGCTGGACCTGAAGCACAGGGAAACACCTTAAAATGTGGCCAGTCCATTCCTACATGCAAGAGGGATGGTGTGCTCAGCTGGCTGCCTCTTTTGACCCTCAGTAGATTGTAAGTACAAAACTGAAGACCCCCTGGAAACAGAGCCCTGGACCCACTCAGAGTGACTGTCCTGACGGGAAGCATGTGGATGCAGTGTCACACTGCTGGGCTCTCTTACTCCGGATTAGTGCTGAGCACCAAGTCAAAGCTTGGAGTTAACTCACAGGGTGACTGTGCTTTATGCTACAGCAGAATATCAGGGGATCAGAGGAAATGCTCAGACTCCCGGGAAGCCTCCCCAGTACGTGGTGGTGGTGTATTCCCATGCTCCAGTCTCCTGCAGATGGATCCTAAGGGGGATTACCGTCACAGCCCACTTCTCTTCAAGTAAGCATCATCCCATGGGACTTTACGAAGGAGCTCCTCCACTAATTTTGAATACTGGGGTGGCACCAGGTGCTGTCAGTCACACAGTTGCTGACGTGCTCATGTTAAGGGCCCATCTCTGGTTTTGTAACAGAAGGATTTAGCAAAATCTCGTTTTGCGTTACTGGGATTTCAAACAGGGCAGATGGCCACATTCTATTTGCGATAAAGCAGAGTCTTTCCTCTTAATTAGATCCAGTTTCCTCCTAGGGGGGCAGTGGCTTTTGAGCTGGAGCTTTCTGTCAAGCTCTAATTAAACTCTGCCTTGATTGTTGTCCACTAATTAGACATTGATGATTTGAACTTTTTTTTTTGAAAGAGATCCTGAATTCCTCATCCCCCTCCCCCACATTCCTGCACTTGATTTTTCTCCTGCAGAGCCCATCCATGCCCACACTCAGCAGCCCTGTACTCTGCACTGGATGTCCCAGAGGGACAGGGTGGGGACACCTCTGCCCCATCTCTCTGCCAGTCCCCTTGTTACCTGGTTTTCAGCAGTGAGACCAAGAGACTTTGGGTCTCACTGTTGCTGTAGTAGTGCAAGTCCTCCTTCAGCTAAAACCTCATCGAGGCAGGAGGAATGTCCTTCCCTTCTCCACCCCCCAAGCCCTCTCCTCTGGCACAACCCTCCAACCTCCCAGGCAGATGAATCTCCAAAGTTTGCCACCATGCTGTGCCAGAGCCTGCATCAGGCCACATACTGCCCTACTCATGAGATCTGACCCCTGTGTGCTCTCCATGGGTCACAGCAGCTCCTCCTCCATGCATAAGGTAACACATCCATCTGCAGCTGTCTCTGACATGCCCACGGAAGTTCAGCCCTGCCCAATGCTCCAGGATGAGACTCCCTCTTGTTGGGACACACCACGCCACCACCTCCGTGTCCTGGCCCTCCCTGACAGGGACAGCAGCCTGTCCTGCAGGACAGGAGCTCCCTTGTGCTGCCCAGTCTCAGGGCAAAATGCAGGGACAATCTCTGTTAATGCTGCCTTGGACTTTCCCCAGCACAGAGAGGCCACGGAGTCGTGCTGCTGTGGGAGAGCTCCAAGCCAGCCTGGCCCAGCTGGGGCCAGAGGAGCTGGTCCATGGCCCCAGCAAGACACATGCTTGGGGTTCACAAGTGCCACTATGAGCAACGCACGTGTAACCACAAGGTGCAAAGTGTGAGCAGGGACAAGCCCCAGGGCAGGACGAGGGGTACCCAGAGTTGACAGCACAGGGTGCTGCTGTGGCCACCCAAACTTGAGCCAGGGCAGGACAGGAGGCAATGAAGAGGAAGCTCAGAGTTGCCTTGAGTGCAATGCCCTCCACCACACAGCTCCCTGTGCAGCAACAGCAGTCGGGTGCTCCAAACCACTTGATTAAGCTGCTGACAATCATCGGTAGGATTTGGGCTCTGAGCTTGCTTTAAACTGATAAATCTTCAGGACAGGGAAAATTAAAGATGAGGGAATTTCCTGATAAGCCAAGGCAGCTCCCGGTCTGGCTGTGGTCCTGATCTGGGTGACGAGAGGTCAGGCTTTCCAGCCCCAACCAGCTGCAAGGGAGAGAGCTGGGCTGGCTGCAAGGCCCTAGCATGGAGGGGCTATATCTTTCCACATCAATAACTGGGGCCCTGCTCACAGAGGGGACGGATTGGGTTCTTTCATTAGGAATAAGGGCCGCTCTGGGTCCTTCCAGTGGAAGCTCTGGGTCTATTCACACTTTGTATGTAGTGGGGAGTAACAGTGTCTGTCCACAGTTCGTAAAACTGGACAGAGAAAGAAGTGAAGGATCCCCCCACCAGGGAAAGCTCAGCATCAGTTCTCAGGGTCTTTCTCCAAAAAGGACAGACCCTCTGTTAGGACAGCTTGGAGGTCTGTGCACAAGGGATACTCAGAATCCTTATTAGTATAGGCATTAGGTCCCCTTCTGGAGAAAGGTTTGGGTTATTGTTTGGTGCCACTTTGAGGAGTGAGTCTATGAGGGTCTTGGGGCACATCTACAGTGGGGTTTAATTTGTGGAGGGAGCTAAGGAGAACCTATAGACAGGGACACTTTTGGGGGCAATGACTGGGCTTGAGCCTGTGGTCGTGCCTGAGCAGACCTCAAGGTAAATGTATAGTGTCCCCCATGGGAAGCACTGGAGAGAGCTCAGAAAGGCTTGTCCTCACAGCTCTTTCATGATGTGGGAGGGAGGGGGCCTGGGCACATGTCTTTAAGGGGGGAGCTGAAGGGTCTGTCTGTGCATAGGTGCTTTTACAGGGCTGGGGGATCCATGCATGGCTCCTGCCAGTGAGGCACTGGGGATTTCCCTAAAGTGAGTACCCCGTGGGGACAGGCTTGCTCAGGGATGTCCCTGGGGCTGGTTTGACAGAAAGGCTAGTCCCTGATGTGGACTGTCATGGGGTGTCTGCATCCCCAGGGGCCTGATCCCAGGTCCAGTGTGTCCTAGGCCATCTTGCAGTTGGTCCTTGATTCTGTCAGTCCCTGTTGTAGGGTGTCCCAAGGCTGGTCCCTGAGTGGGGTGTCCCAAGGCTGGTCCCTGGCCCAGGATGTCCCAAGGTGCTCCAAGGCCAGTGCCTGGCTCAGCTTTCCTGAGGTACTCCAGGCTGCCCAGGTGGCCTGAGACCAGTGCCTGTTCTGGGTCCCTGATCCAGAGCCCAGAACAGGTGCAAATTCCTGGTGCTCTGTCAGTGCCAGTGCCTGGCCTGAGTGTCCCAGGAAGCCCTGGAGTGTCCTGAAGACACTTCTTGGCTGGCATGCCCCATGGCCCGACAGTGCTTGAACCCTGCCCAGCTTCCTTGAGCAACCTCAGTGTTTCCTGAAGCAAACCTCTGCCTGGGGAGCCCCGGGCACCAGTGCCAGCACCTGTTCCTGGTGCTCTGTCAGTGCCAGTGCCTGCCTTGGGTGTCCCAGGAAGTCCTGGGATGTCCTGGGCCTGGCTCCTGGCTGGGATACTGTATGGTTACTTGTACCTGGTACTTGTACCAGAACCCAGCTTTCTTGGGCAGCCCTAGTGTTGCTTGTGGCCAGGGGATACTAGGGAGCCCTGGGGGCAGTGTCCCGAACTGGTGCCCATTCCTGGTAGTCTGTCAGCACTTGCACCCGGCCTGGGTGTCCCAAGAAGCCATGGGGCTGGATCCTGGAACCACGGCCCCACAGTGCTTGGATCCAGCCCAGCTTCCTTGAGCAACCTCAGTGCTCCCTGCAGCCAGGGACCCCACTACCAGTGCCAGGTCCTCCCGGAGTGCCCCACACCCGGCGCTGCCCACATTCCCCCGGCCATCGCCCGCCGCCAGGCCCGGGGCAGGCCGGTGCTCCCGGTGCCGGTGCTCCCGGTGCCGGAGTGTACCTGCCAGCAGCTGCATCCAGGCGCAGATCTTGTAGACGGTGGCGGTGTTGCAGAAGAAGAATAGGGCGAAGCAGGTGATGCAGCCCAGCGTCAGCACCATGGAGAGCAGCACGAAGAACGCGGCCGCCTGGAAGGCGCCCGAGGGGATGGTGCTGAAGTCGGTGAAGGAGCCACGGCACGACAGCTCCCGGCCCGCCAGCCCGCTGCCCACGCAATAGTGGAACAGCCCGAAGTACCCGGGCTTGGGCGTGTTGACGCTGTCGCCCACCCAGTAGGGCTGGATGAAGACCACCACGTTGATGATGGCGAAGCAGATGGTGAAGATGGCCCAGAGCACGCCGATGGCGCGCGAGTTCCGCACGTAGTTGTCATGGTACAGCTTGGAGGCTTCCTGCGAGGGCAGCATCCTGCCGGCCGCCACTGCCGGAGGGCGGGAGGGGCCGGGACGGCGGGGGGCCCGCCCGGGGTCGGGGGGGCGAGGGGGGCCGCGGCCTAAGAGCGCCCGCGGGCTGCCGGGCCCTGCGACACCCGCGCCGCCATCTTGGCTGCCGCCTCTGCGCCCCGCGCGCTCCCGCCGCGCGCGCGCGGCCGCGCGCCCCCCGCCACTGCGGAGCCGAGCCCGAGCCCAGCCGAGCCCGGCCGTGCTGAGCCGAGCCCAGCCCAGCCCAGCCGAGCCCAGCCCAGCCCGAGCCGAGCCCGCCGCGCGCGCCCCCCAGGGATCGGGCTGCTTCGGCCGCCTTCGGCTGCGCCCGCCTCGGGCTCGGCCGGGCTCGGGTCACCTCGCGACGGGCAGTGTTCGGCACGGCTCAGCTCGGCACGGCTCGGGTCGGGTCGCCGAGCCGGGACAGAGCCGGTGCCGGGCCCGCCCCGCTCCCCCGGGGCCTCTCCCCGGTCCGCCCCTGCCCGGGGCAGCGCCTGGGCACGGCCCGGTCAGTGCCGGCGGGTCCCCGGGGGGTGCGTTTGGCCGGAGCGTGCCCGCAGGGAGCGCGTCCATCCTCCCGTACCCCCTGCGACCCCGCGAGTGTCCGGCGTAGCCCGCGGGGCGGGGAGCAGAGCTTCCCCACCCGCTTGGTGGGGACGGAGCAAATTGAGTTGCCGCCACTGTGGCACTGGGACAGCGGGACCCGACCCAGAACCTCTCGTGTGACAGCGCAGGGCCAGTTACATGACTGTGCCAGATCAGGTGTGATGACAGGGCCGGGGTACAGAAGGTGTGCCAGGTCAGGTGTGGTGACAGGGCCGGGTACACGGCTGTGCCAGGTCAGGTGTGCCGGGCTGTCGCCCTGAGGCACTCGTATGCCGGCAGGTGCCCTCCAAAATCCTGCCCCCGCCCCGGCAGCCTCCCACTGGTCCCAAACCCAGCAGAAACCAGACCGCCTCGGCCCAGTTTCTTTCTCAGGGTGCCGAGATGCACCGCCTTAGCTGCACTTAAACTCGGCTGTCATAAAATGCTCCAGGGGCCTCATTCTCTTCCAAGTCTTGTCAAGATTCGCAGCTGGTTTGCAAGTCAGACAAGCGCGGATGAAAACCACTTTGTGCTCCCCTGCAAGAAGCAGGGTCCCGCGGTACCGCTCATCCCGCAGCTCCGACCGGCACTGGCTCGGTGTGCGCGGCCACACCTCGGGAGGGGGTTCTTTATGAAGCGCAGCGCCCTGCGCACGCCTAGACAGCCTTTGCCCCGTCCTTCTACGCGCGGGTGCGGAGCGCAGCCCGCTCTCCCCGGAGCGGTCCCGCTGCCCCGGGGCGGAGCGCGGCCCGGCGCTCACCGATGACGGCGGGAGCGGGCGGAAGGGGCGGTGGCGGCGGGCGGAAAGCGGCGGGCGGGGCGATGGGCCCGAGGCGGCGGCGGTGAGCGGCGCGGCCATGGCGGCGGCGGCCCGCGGCTGCCCCCCGGCGGGCTCCGGGGACCGCGCCCTGGCCGAGCTGCTGCTCGAGTTCTCCCGGGCACAGTACCGCGCTAAGGACGGCGGCGGCGCCGCTGCCGCCAAGGTGAGGGCACCGGGGCTTGGGGGGAGCGGGGTTCGGGGGTCCCGGCGCGGCGGGCACTGAGCGGTGGCTCTGCGCAGGTGGAGCGGATCGAGCGGCGGTGCCTGGAGCTCTTCGGCCGCGATTATCGCTACAGCGTGATCCCCAACCTGCACGGCGAGGTCTGCGCCCACTACCCGCGCTACATCGTCCTCCTGGAGCGCGACGCCGGCCGCGACCCGTAAGGCCCCCGGTCCCCGTGTCCCGCCCCGCGCAGCTCGCACCCGCCGGAGTGGTGGTGGTTGTTATTGTTGTCGTTGTCCCGGGGAGCCCTCGCGCCCGCCGCTGCTGTCCCGGGGCTCCCGCCGGCCGGGGGAAGCCCTGCACTGCGCTAATTATAGCCGGCGGTGTCACTGCTCCAGGGGCTCCCCTCGCTGCCTCCCGGGGCTGCGGCGCTCCCGTGGGGCTCCTCCCAGCGCCCCGGGGCTCCTGGGCTGCCGTGGTGAAAACTGAGCCTGTAAGGAGGGGTGTGAAGGAAGCGCCGGTGCTCCAGGGCAGCGCCAGCAACGCTGCACGTGGCCCTGGAGTAAAGGCGAGCACAGCGCTGGGTCCTGGTGGTTGCTCTGCTGCAGCTCGTCGGAAGGCTCGAGGCTGAGAGTGAGACTGTGCGATGCTCGCCCTCTCTTGACGAGGTGCCCGTGGTCTCACTGCAAGGCCTCTGATGTGGGGAATTCTAGTCTGCAAAGCATCTCGGGGCACGGGGTCTGATAAGGACTAGACAGACAAGACATTTTGGACAGATATTTCTGTCATTCTAGACTGTTTCACCTCTCCCCACCGCAAAAGGCGAGTCAGTGGGCACTGAGGTTTAGTGAGCTAATGGGAAATGCTTCCTGGCAGTTTGATGCATATCTAAGCCAACGTATTTCTGGACTTTGACCCACAAGCCCAGGATCACGTTGGTCTCACGTTGGTCTCACGTTGCTCCCTGCAGCTCAAACCACAGCAACTCAGTTTTATTTTTTCTTCCAACAAGACATAATGCAGTTTTGCAGTCTTAACTGCGTGCCCATGATAAGCATAACATGTTCAAAAGAGTGGTCACCAAGTCCCCCTCACATGTCCAGCTGCTTTGCCTGAGGAAGGCAAACCATCACCTGCTGTGCTGGCACATGGGCTGGGTGCTGTAGGAGGGGGTCTTTGGAAACCAGCCACAACTGACTGTCAGATGGGAGAATTTCTGCTTGATGGTTAGATTAGATTAGAAGAGATTAAACCCCTTGCTGCAAAAAACAGGAAACTGAAGTCTGAAGCAGTAAATGTAACTAGGGAAGAGAAACCAAATGCTTCTGCTTTCCTGCTCTTGCAAGAGGAAAGGATGCTTAATTTTTCTGACAAGTGTTCGAAACAAGAGTATTCACACTTGATGCCCCATTTTCTTCTTTGACTTGTGCAAGCCAGCAGTGGCAATTAACTTTTTTAAAACTCATTCTCCAAGTCTTGATTTGCTGTCCTAGAGAGTCATGGAAACAGACTACATTTTATCATCCCTCTCCTGATTTCTGGGCAATGCTCTCTGTAAAAGCTGCTAAGTGATCTTTAGACAAATTCAGGTTTTAGTTTCATTGTTGTATGGCTGTGGAATAATTATTACATAGAGACTGTTGCACTTCTTGTGTTACAAAACACAAGAACCTCTTCCAGTGAGGAGGACAGTCCCTCTAGGACTGTGTGTCTTTGGCTGCCTTTCGTAAAACCACAGAATGGTTTGGGTTAGAAGGAACCTTAAAGATCCCTGGTTCCATCCCCCATGCCACGGGCTGCGACACCTCCCACTGGACCAGGTTGCTCAGGGTGCCATCCAGCCCAGCCTTGGACAGTTCTGCTTTCATTTTTGTAATGTTCTTAATCAGCTGCTAAGATCTTCTTGAGGCTTCACACCTCTGAGAATACTAAGGTGTTTTGGAAACAGTTTTCACTTGTGCAAACACTGCTGCCCTGTTGGTTCTGCTGGTACACCTGCTTCTGGAGCATGTGGCTCATGTTCAGCTTGCTCTCGACCAGCACCCCCAGGTCCTTTTCCGCTGAGCAGCTTTCCAGACCCAACATAACTTGGCAGTTACTGTGACTGTGCTTAATGAAAATGTCCAAATCTCAGTCACAGGCCACATCTTTGGTTTTACAAGATGATCCTGTTATGTGTCTGCACTCCAAATGAATATGATCACAATTGTGTGTAATCTAGCAACATAAGAGGAACACTTTGTTCCAGTGCTGTTATGGTCACCCAAAGAGGAGCATCTCTGCTTCAGGCCTGTCTAAAATAGTTGCCAAAACAGTTGCTTGCTCTTACAGGACATGTTTCCCTTGCATTTAAAAAGATTACTTTGGGTTTGGAGTCTGATTTTGGGTGGAGGGAGGTCAAGAGGTAAGCTTTGCCCAGCAGTATCTTCTGGAAAACAAATTTCTGAAGAACAACATCCCCCCCACCCCTACACCCCAAACACCAAAAGGTAAAAAAAAAAAAAAAAAGTCACGTTATTCCTTCTACCTTATTCTCTGTCTTGTGCCAAACAGCCTTAATGATGCTCTTTCGTGTTGCTGAAGAGTGCTGTTTTTTGAACCTTTTTCAGTAGATTTTACTCCTACTTACATTGCATTTAATCACTAGTCCCTGTAAAAGCATTACACCTGTTCTTCAGAGCAGGTCAGCCCTCCCCTTACTACAGTAGTCTCAGTACAACTGTGTTTGTTTACCGTGTTTACCTCTAGCTCATGTTTATCTCTCGCTTTACTGATGATGGTTATTGAGATGGGAAGATCTGAGAGCCCTGTTTGTAGCACATCCATAACAGGTAGCAGAGCAGGTCTCTCCAGAGCGTGTGCAGGCGTGGTGTGCCTGGGAGAGGGGCTCATCCTTCTGTGTCCCCCAGTGGGGTGTTGCGCTTCCTGCTTGCCCCATGCTCTGGGTTCCTGCCAAGCTGCTCCGACTCATTCCCCAGTGCTGCGATGCCTCTCCAGGGAAGTGCAGTGAGTGTGCTGAGAGGTGAAACCTGTTGTCTTGTCTCAGCCCCTGGGGATGCACTTCTCTTACAATTTCTGATCTTTCAGGCACTGCATTTTTCCGGAATCCCTTCTTCTGGGCTTAAAAGCAGTGCCATGGAGCTATTCTGGTTACACTGTATTAAAGTTCTTGTTTCACTCTGTATTCGCTTTTGCAAAGGAAACATAAAGGCAACTGGAGCAGAGTGCAGGATATGTCTCTTGATTGCGTGCATTCATTTAAAAACAACCCCACAACCAAATCTGTGCGTCACAATCTCCAAGTTTCAAAATAGTTTGGTGTTGGGAATTATACGCAAAGGCATCTCTTCTCACACTGCTCACATTTTCCTGTCTTTGCAATTAGTACCCTCACATGCACAGTGTTTAAAGATGATTAGCGTGGGTTCTTGTTCTTTAAATTCTGGTATATGTCAAAGCTCTTTGGAGCTGGACTGTAAAATAGTTGTGTGTGCAGGGAAATGTGAATAAACTTAAGCCTCCATTAATTCTGAGAACTTTTTCCTTCTTTCCTTTCCTTTTTTTCCCTTTTTTTTTTAAAA